CGACCGGCCAGCCTGTGACCACCCCGCCCCCCACTCCCGCCCTGGCCTCCCCAAGGCCCCTCCTCCTGCCGGCTGCCTCATGGATGTCCCTGGCCCTGCTTCCTGTCGCACGATGAGCTCTTGCACACGCACCCACACGCGAGCACTTGCACACGGGAGCACACACACGTGCACGCACGGACGCAGGAGAGGCGGCTACTACCCCACGGCCCCGGGGCGGGGCCTGAGACCCTCTGGTGGGGCCGCTGGCTGGCAGGCGCTCAGAGCAGACCATACGTGGGGGTTGCGTCTGACCACTCACCTCGCTCGCGCAGGGAGGGAGGGGCCGGATTGGTCTTCCCCGGGGGAAGGTTCAAGAATCCCAGGCGGGAAGCTGGAGGGTCCCTTGGGCCGCCTCAGCCTGCGCCTGGCTCCGAGGCAGTGAGTGCTGCCACCTAGTGGCGTCCTGGATGCCGCGGCTCCAGGCTGGGGAAGGGCGAGAGGGCGTCCCGGCGACTGCGGGCAGGGGGCAGGGGCAGCAGCCCGGCACACGTGGGGGTCGGCATTCGCCCACCGGCTCCCCTGAACCCATGCCCGTCCCCTGTGTCCCTGTGCACCATGTCCTGTCCCTCTGTTGACCACGGCCCCGCTGACCTTGTTTCAGAGATCGCACAGCCTCGGGTGCCCCCACGACACCGTCGGGTGCCCCCACGACACCGCCGGGCGCTTGCAGACAACTGCCACCACATGGGAGGGCCCCCGGGGGGTCACCACAGGCAGGGATGGCATGTGGGGAGGGGGGCATCAACGGTCCTCAAAATCTCGCCAGCCACTTGGGAACGTTGCTGTCACCCCAAAGTCATCTTCCATCCCCATGAGGTTCTCCAGGGCAGGAGGCGGGGAGAGCAAGGGGGCAGGATGAGGAAGGGATCGTGTGAGCAGATGACCACTGACCTCCCTCAGTCAACACCCCTGGGAGGGAGAGCTCCGCTGCCCAGGGGTCTGCTGTGGCCCCCGCCCTCTGTTCCATAGGCATCCCCTTCCCTGTGTCCAGCCCACAGCCCCAGACCCTGCTTCACCCCTTCCCCCCGTCTCCCAGGCTGCCCAGATCCGACCCAAACACCTGCAGCCTCCCCCACCTTCCCCACAGAGAGGCCCCAGTCCCCAGGCCGGGACACGGTAGCCCATGGGCCCAGGAGACAGCCGGAGGCAGCTCCGTGCCTGGCCTACCTGGAGGGTGAAGAGATGCGCGCAGACCTTCTCAGAAACCAAGACAGCCACGGCAGGGACCCCAGAGGTCAACTCAGCCGGGGCAGTTCTCCTGCAACTCTGGCTACTTCCCCAGGCGGGCTCTAGGGCCACCTACTGACCCCTACTTACCTCCAGCCAGGGCGTCCCCAGCTCTCCCACTACGGTTTTCTCCCCTCAGGAAATGCCACCTCACAGGGGTGTGTGCATGGCCTGATACGCAGGGGTGCGTAGCTGTGTGGGAAGGAGAGGACCACTGGGTCACCCTCTGCCCCGCCCTTCCCCACTTTGCTCATCCTGTGGTCCGGCAGCAGGGCCGGGAGCCCAGCTGGGAGCAGAACATGGGCTGGACGGGTTGCTGGGCACAGGCTGCTGGACGGCCCCTGTACAGATCCCTGGTGTGGCCAGGCACGTGGCATGAAGACTGCATTTTCCCATCTTCCATACAGACTGTGACTGGGTCTTATCCTATAGAAGGAGGCAGAAGCCTCACGCGCACGTGGGTGTGTGACTTCAGAGACTGGTCCCTAAAAGGACAGGGTGCCCTGGAATGAAGATGTAACAGTTGGACTCTAGCAGTCACTTTGGTCCATGAGGTGACCCTGAGGAGGAAGTCATATAGGACAGAGAAACAAATCGGGAGGGTCCTGGGTTCCTGGCCCCATAGGTCTGCCTCCCAAACTCGTCCACACAGCCTCCCTCTGGACGTGGAGGCCGTCAGAAACAAAGGTGAGTCTACTCTGGGGAACCCGTGCTTATGTAGGGCCTCTCTGTTAATCACAGCCAAGACTAACCCTAATCGTAGGTAACAATTCCAGAGAAACGGAGACCAATTTCTCAGCACAGAGAAATAAGGCAGCTGCTCCAAGATCATGGAATGCAAGCAATGACCTTCTCCTGCGGCCATGGAGGGGGGACAGAGGTGGCCTGCTGCCTCGCTCTATGGCCTCTTCTACACAGAGCAGAGGGACAGTGCCAGGCCCCCTTGAGCACTCCGGGGCCTAGGGTCCTCACCAGCACCCCACCAGCTACACAAAAATCTGGGCAGGGTGGACTGTGCTGGCCCAGGCACCCCAGGTTCATGAAGCACAGGTTCCAGGTTTCCCAGGACAGCTCTGGTGCCCACGGCCACTTGGTACCAGCAGAGCCTGGCAGGGGACACAGCAGAACAATCAGTGCTGAGGGGAGCAGAGATGAACCCGGCAGCTGACCCTAGGTCTGCAGAGAGGAAGTCAGCTATACCTGGAGCCTGGGCCAGCTCTCCCCAAAACCTGGACACCCCAGCCCAGAACTTTCTGGAAGTCTCGCAGCACAAAGGCCTCTGATGGGTGGCCAGGCCCTGACAGAGGGCCAAGGGGACCGCGAGCCTTGAGCCCCACTGAGGTCAGCAAATCTGGGCGCCCACCTGGGACAGGGCGCTGCGTCTCAGCCCCTATTCACCAATCTGCCTGCTCCACTGACCCCCGGGGAGGGCCCGGGAGCTAGAAAATCCCAGAGGGCAGGGGGCAGCCATAGCAACCGGGACCTCACTGCGGCCGGCCCTCACCCAGCACACTGCAGGGCGGGAGACAGGACAGCTGTGCCCACCCTAACCTCCAGCCCCTCTTCCCACGGGGCCTGGGCAGTGGCTGGCAAGGAGAGGACAGTAAGAGCCAAGGGCAGCGGAGCCCCAAGCCGAGGGCCGGCAGCACAGTCTGCCTCTGCACCGGACCCACGTGCTTGAAGCTTGCATCCAGGAACTGGGTCTGCGTCCGGGACCAGAGGGCTCACCAGCCCCAGCCAGCGGCTCCCTTCCCTGGACACCCGCTGCTCCTAGAGGCAGAGAGAAGGGCAGCTGGCGGGAGCCTCGGCAGACTCGGGCCCGGGCCCGGGGCGAGTGAACGTGAGTCCCCACGGTCTGAAGCCGCCAGCATGAGGCAGTGACGGACACGGACAGAGCCACGCACCTTGACCCTGGACACTGTGTGTCCCACTTGTCCCTGTCCTGGGAGCACCCCCACCCTGAGACCCCAGCAAGGCCCTGGAGACGGCGTGCAAGGCGGAAAAGGCCACACACCGTGCAGGTTGAATCACTGTGTTTTACTAAGTGCACAGGTCCCCTGGGCTTCCGAACAGGTCCCCGTGGCAGTAGAACTTCCCGGAACTTTTCACATGCGTCCCTGCTGCTGGATCCCACCCCTGAAGCCGCCAGGCAAACCCAGGCCGGGCCCCATTCTCGGGGACAAGTGTGAAGCGGACAGTGAGTTGAGAAGTTAGTGTCTCGGCTGGTCCGTACAAAACTAGAGTTCATTCCCTGGGCGTCTATCCCTAGAAGACGGACAATGCGCGAGTCGAGGGTCGAGTGTGCGGCGGTGACACATTCACGAAACAGAAAGGCCCAGCGGCTGTGGTGCAGGGGTGCATACACGTGGTCGGAAGGGCACATCAGTACTGAAGGCAAATGAAGAATTCTTTGGAGCATGAACAAAGTGCAGATGGCCAAGGCAGCAGCACGGGCGGGGGCCGCGGGGCAGCGAGCGGCAGGGGCGGGCGCGGGACGGGCTGAGGAGGGTCCTGGCGGGCACAGGGCCAGTTCCTGGTCCGTTGCCCGCTCTGCGTCCGACCATAGCGCCGGTCCCGTGGACGAGGGGGCAGGGTGTGGTGCCGGGCAGACTCCGGGGGCCTGGGGCGACCTCGGTGAATTTCCGTCCACGTGCATTAAGGCAACGACATTATGAAACCCAGCCAGAGTTGGGCATACGGCATTGGGGGGCTGGGACACAGCGCCACCCCCCTGAGGGCCCCCCCCAATTCCTCCAACCCTAAGGGTGCCTTTGAGGGTGGACGGAGGGTCTCACCTTCCAGGGAGCGTGTCTTCCTCGCTCTCTCTACCCTGTTTGCTGAAGCCTCTCTCCCCCCAACGTCTCCTTCTGAGGTCTGCCATCAGCCCCCTCCCCTCACAAGATGGCCTGTCCAGCGAACTGTGACCATCGCCTGTGCATGCTCCAGAGGCCACCAGTGTCCTAGCCTAGGCAGCTGGCTTTCCTGGGTTCCTTGGAGAGAAGAGAGTCACAAGCCCCCAATCCCACCATACTGCCTCTTTTAGGAAGCCCTCCCTGGCTGTCTCTCCTACTTAGGGCTTGGCAGGGGCCCAGCGGAAGACAGCTGGCCTGGGACAACACACAGCCTCTCCTGGTGCTGGAAGCAGGCAGCCCATTCCTTCCGGGCCCCACCCAGGCCTCCCGCCCCAGGCCTCCTGCCCCTCGCCCAGCTTCGGTCCATCCAAGCAGGTGGCCTGAAGATCCGCTCCGGGGTCACGGAAGGCAGCCGAGGACGACTCAGGACAGCGTTGGTCAGGGAAGGGAGCGTCTGATTCTGAGCCATGAGCACTGGGGGGCACCAGGGGCACGGAGCCCCACCGGCTGCTCGGGACCCGGCCACACTGATGAGGTGCCCCCAAACCCTCCATGGGCTGTCAGGCTGTCCCTCTGCACACCACGTTTATTTCAAGGGCTTGTGACATCGGAGGGTGGGACGATGTGTCTTCACTCTGGTCTTGCAGTGTCACGTCAGGGACGAACCCCTGAGCCCACCGCTGTGTACATTATTTACAATTTGGGGAGAATACGAAATAGATACAAACATCAGCATTTCTACAAAGGCCTCCCAGGGGCCATCCACACCTCTGGGCTTCAAGAAGCGTCTAGAAACGTCTCAGGGCCGATTCCATCCACACCCGGCACAGGCAAGGGGCACCTGCTCTACGGAGGGCCCCTGAACGTGGGGCCAGTGGAGGAGAGGATGCCGCCCCCTTGGCTTCTGTGTTACTGTGTCGAATCGGTGACCACCGGGGGACTCCAGCCTAGTACGAGGGGAGAAGGTCAGTTAAGCCAAATCACCAAATTAAAGACGTCGACCGTGCCTGGCTGGCTCGTGTGCTCTGGGCTCAGGGAGTAGGGCTGGCTGCGGGGCAGGTCCAGACCTGCCCTAAGCCCGTAGGCTTCCACACAGCAGTCCCGGCAGGGCGGGCTCCCGGAGCGTCCAAACGGGGCTTGAGAGCAGACCCCACAGGTGGGGATGACGGTGGCCTTCCACGGGGAGGGGACAGGTGGACAGGCCAGGGGGAGCCTCTGCCACGTAGCCAGGGCCCCTCCATCCTCCAGGGAGGACTAGCAAGGTCACGGCTCAGAGCATGTGGACAAGGGGGAGATGCGGGGCCTCAATATGCCAGGGAGAGAGGGGACAACACCCACATGGCCAAGGAGGGCAGAGGGAGGTGGCCAGGGCCCCAGGGTCACAACTGGATGCCCAGAGCTTCCCAGCTCAGTCCACACCGTGAGGTGGCATCCAGCCGACCAGAGGCTCTGGACAGCTGCTGGGCAGCGGATGTGAGGCGTGTGGGACCCCGGATGGGGCCAGGGGGCCCCTCTGCCCGTGCTGCCCAGGAGCCTGGGCACAGGAGCACCTGTCACTCCATGTGTCCATTCCTTGGGGCTTGAAGTGGGCAGACCCAGACAGAAAGCAAACGAAAGGCCACGGGAGTCAGGAGCTCAGTGAATGTGCGTGCACGTGTGTGTGTGCCCAGATGCGAGCTGAGTGTGAGCAGACTCCAGCCTCCCCCAGACCTCAGGAAACCCTGCCGCACCTGCCAAGGGGTGACAGCTGCCCTGAGCCCCACTCCGGTCACATGCGCCCCGCAGACGCCCCGTGACAGCACCGGCCTCTTCCTGCTCTTACCCCTCTGGAGGCGGGACCCGGGGTGCGCACGCTGCTTGGGCCTGGCTCTGCGGGTCTCAAGGAGACACCTTTACAATACCATCTCTCCCGCCTGTACCCGAAACCAGCTTCCCTTCCAAGGGGGCAGAGACTCCATGCAGGAGGCCTCACACCCTCCCTGGATGTGGGACCTGCCGGCAGGCCGACCCGTCCCTCCCGCTGCAGCCTAGGGGACCCCCTGCCCCTCCGAGGCCGGCTTCCTTGGCTCCCAAGGGCGCATGGCACAGGGAGTTTGGGGGACAGGCCCTGGAGCCCCCTCCTCCCAGGTCCTGGAGCCCCTGACGACCAAGACCCGGCAGCGGAGGGGTCCCCGTTGCTGGCACGGGGCCAGAGCTGGGGACGGATGTGGCCGTGCCACCCCGTGGTTCCTGCCCTGCCCAGGGGCCTGCAGCCCGAGTCCCCCGTGGCAGGAGGGTAAAGGGCACCGAGCCCAGAGGCAGGCAGCGATGGGAGGGCCAGCCTGCAGGGCCACGACACACAGGCCACATCAGGGGCTCACGGCATCTGCACTGGCAAGGACTTCTCACCACTGCGAGGCCCAAGGCCAGAGAAACACTGCCCTCAGGAACACAGTTCATCAGCGTGAGGGAAAACCAGCAGAGCTGCAGAACGCCTCCCCTCCAGGCCGTGGGGCCACTCACCTCCACGCCTGCCCCTCCCCAAGGCTGGGGAGGGGGTGTCCTCGTGCCGGGTCCCCGACACGAGCAGAGGTTCCCAACTCTGAGCCTTCGTCCTCCCGCTCTGGACGTCACCCTTGGGCAAACACAGGCTGGCCCAACCTCTGGCTGCCCATCAGGCAAGGAGGTGCCCAGAGCAGGATCAGGGGAAGGGGCAGCGCCCGCAGCCATGGCCCCGCCTGCTCAACAGACACGAGTCCCCAAGGAGAGCCGCAGGACCCCAGGCCCAGAGCCCGGGACCCTCAGCACAGCTTCCTGCGCACTTCCCAGAGGACAGGAGCGACTCTGTTACTGGCCACTTCCAGCCCCAGTCGCAGCGGGGCTCTCCCGAGAGGTAGGTTTCAGGGCAAGTCGCTCCACAGCGGGCTTGGCTGCGTCCAGCTCTAGTGCACACGCGGTCACCACCTCAGAGAGCGCCAGGTGACCAGACCCGTGGTCCCAACTGCCAGACACCTGCACACACTGAGCGCTGAGTGCCCAGAAGGGAAACCCCACAGCTGCTGTCCCTGGGGCCAAGGGGACAGGAGAGATGGGGGTGCCTGCTCCTTGAGGCCCAGGGTGGAGATGGGCATCCTTGAATCTCAAGAAGTCCCAGCCAAGGGACACGTCAGTGGAGAGCAGGTGAGTGGACGGTCAGCTCCAGTGGGGACAAAAGAGGCTTCCTACAGGAGAGAGCTGCTTGAACCCTGCAGAGGGAGGGGACCCCACAGCCCTCAAGAGGCTTTGAAGGGTTTTCCCAGGCCTTAGAACATCATTGTCCTGCCCCGGTCCTGTCAAGGTCCCAGGGATGGACCAGGGAGGCAAGACCCCCAGTGAAAGACACCATGTGAATCTGGTCACCAAACCCCTGGCCCTGGGATCTGGAAACAGGAGCCCAGCCTGGCCGTGCCCCAAGCCACCCAGCGCACTCCCTGCGCACAGGTCTCCTTTCAGAGCTGGTCGTGGCCTGGTGGTTGGTGCCCAGCCTGAGCAGAACAGACAGAACACGGGCTGCCCATCCCCAGATCTCCTGGCTGTGGGAGCCTCTGAGGACCCTCTTCCAGAGGCCTAGGGAGCAGCCCCGCCCCCCAGGAGCCCACGCTGGGAGGTGCTGGGGCCTCACCTCACCCCTTCCTGTCCAGGCCAGCATTCTGGACTCGGGACTGGTGCGGACCCGGGGGTGGGGGGAGGTGGTGCTGACCAGCGGCTCTCTGGAAGACAGCCCATCACCATGCCTGCCGTGTGGGGACAGCGGGGGCAGGGACCGAGGGACAAGGATAAGCCACACTCAAGGGGCAGCCGTACCTCCTGCAGCCGCAGGCACAGGCCGTGGCTCCCTCCCCTCTAAGCCTCAAGGCCACCGACCCTTCCGCAGCAGCCACCCTCACCCGCGCCCTATGCCTCCTCCCCACTGCCGGGGGTCTGTCCTCAGCTGTCACCCCCACTCGCACCCGCGCCAACGGGCTCACAGTGGGCACGGCCGGCCTGGCTGCCCCTCGTTAGAAAAGAAACTCTTGTCAGCCTTCGCCACGTGAGACCTGGTGCCCCCAGCCTGCCCCACCCGTGTCGCTCTGAGGAAAGGGCCCGGGAGAGTCCCGTCCGCACACCTGGAAGGCCGAGAGTCAGGGAGAGGCCAGCGGGTGGCCTCATTTCCGGGGCCCGGCCCAGCCCACGTCGCCGAAAGGGCCCTCCCCAGTGGCGGAGCGTGGCGGGGGACCGCACGGGGTGCAGAGGTCCGAGTCCGTGTCTGACTCGCCCTCCGCGATGTAGGGCCTGACTTTGGCGCAGGGCGCGGCGGCCGCACCACAGGTGTTGAGGACGTCCAGGTTCTCCTTGGACTGGGAGATGCTGAAGCCGCTGAACGAGCGCTCCAGCTCCTCGTGGTCCACCGACGGGATGGAGATGGACGTGTCGCTGTCCCGCAGGGCCCCCTCGTGCCTCAGGAACTCCGTGCTGGCCCGGGGACCCCCGCTGTAGGCCGAGAGCGACCGCTCGTGGGCGGGTGGGGGCGGGATCCGCACCAGCGAGCCAGGATCACCCACGGGGGAGGTGCCGTGGCCCTGGCGCGGGGGGCACTGCTGCTGCCACGAGGTGGAGGGCGGGCACTGGGCCGGGGGCGCCGAGAAGTTCTTCTGGCCCGTGGAACTGGCTGAGCGGATAAGCTTGACGATGCAGGCGCCCCTGTCCCCGTGCTCCCGGCTGTCCTCGGGGCTGTGGTACGGCGGCGCCGGCTCCGGCTCCTTGGCCCCAAAGTAGGCCTCCGTCTCCGCTGGGGGGATGCCCATGCGCTGCATGTAGATGTTCACGAGGAAATCCAGCTTCTTCTCCATGGACAGGACCTACAAGGGGAGCTGCTGGACCAGGCCTGGAGCTCTCCGGGCAGGGTGGCGGGGGGCCCGGGCCGCTCCCGGGAAGTGGGGGCGGGGTGCTGGGCTCTCCTGGAAGTGGGGGGCCCAGGCTGCTCCAGGAGGTAGGGGGACCCCGGGCTGCTCCTGGGAGGTGAGAAAGCCCTGGGCTGCCCCCACCCCCCAGAGGTCCAGAAGCAGCAGGAAGCAGACACAGCAGCTTAGCCTCTGAACCCTCCCTTCAGTGTGTGGTCCCTTTGAGCAAACCCCACAGTTCCTTTCCTTGGTTCCCAGAAGCACGCCCCAAGTGCTTCTTACACATGGGCCCCAAGAACCCACTCCCCAGAGAGAGCTTTGACCCACCCCTGGAGCCCAAGGCCCTGCCCGCAGGGCCCGTCTCTGCGCCTCCTACCTGCTTCTCCACTTTTCCCAGCCGTCCCATCATGCTGGGGTCTTCGGGCAGCTCCGCCTCGGCCGGGCCCTTGGTGCGGTCCTTGTCGGTGATCGCCGGGCCCCGCCCCACGATCTGGTCCACTCTGCCGGGAAGAGACCCCAGCCCCCAGCATGAGCTCGGGTGGGTGTGGCGGGGCCCATGGCCCTCTCCTCCTGGGCCAGGCCACAGCCCCCCAGATCTAGGCTCCGGGCTGAGCCCAGCGCCGACTGGGGGGGCACCAGGGTGCCAGGACAGGTGGACGCTGGGCACCTGGTCTCGCCCCGCTCACTGAACCTGAGGGGCTCCCCTGCCGATCCAGTGGGCTGGCACATTAGCAAGGAGTAAAGTGGTGGGGATTGGCGCCTCGAGCCCCCCAGGTCCCCTCTCCTGTGCCCGCCCCATCCCTGAGCTTTACTCCTCCACAATGTGCCACGGGGTCCTCAGCCCAACGGGGGTCTGGGGTGGGCAGAGTTCCACGTGTGCGGCAAGAACATAAGCAGAAATGACAAGAGCCATGGCTCCATGCACACGGGACGGGGGTTGGGGCACAGACTGACAGGAAACCGCCAACGCACAACGGAGGGGCAGACAGAGCCACTGCCAAACGGGGAGTCCGTGAGTGCTTGCGTGGGGGCGACGTGTGCGTGTGAGCGTGTGTGTGCACGCGCGAGCCCGTGCGAATGCATGTGCAGAACGCAGCTGCGCTCGGCTCCAAGGAGGCCACAGGGCACGAATGGCGACAAGACACACAGGTTTTCTAGAGGGAAAGGGGACCCAGCACAGTCCCTGCGGAGCAGAAAGGGCCACCGGAGGGCTCAGAAGGGGCCACTGCTGTGGCGTGGGCTCTAACACTTGTGCCGAGACCACAGGCACGTGGGAGCTTGGAAACAGAGACCCCGGCTGTCTGCGAGCCGCAGTGCCGAACCCCCAGGCCTGCCGAGCGCACAGCTCTCCCCCGGGCTAAGGCCAGGTAGCCCCGCCTCATCCCTGGCCGGGAGCCCCAAACACATTCCTCGAGCTTTGGGGTGCGGGAGGGCACGGCTCCCACACCCGGGCAGGGGGCCTCGTCTCGGCGACCTTCCACACCAACAGGCTGCCCTGTCTGCCTCTGGGGGGGGGGGGGGCTTGGGGGGGGGCTTTTCCTGCCGTTGCACGAAGCGGAAGGGGGTGGGGAGCCGCGTCAGCCGTGGTGCAGCGTCATGCCCTGGAGAGCCGCGCATGCTCGCCTCATGCACCAAGGACAAGGAGCCATGGGGGACAGCGGGGGCCCTCGGGCTCCAAGCAGACGCCGGTGGGGAGCAGGAGGGAGAAGCGTTCTCTGGGGTTTCTGGGCGTCCACACAGGCACCGGTGCTCAGCGCCTTCACCCCTGCCACATGACGGGCCGCCTGCCTGGCCGGTCCCACGGGGAGCCTGGAGCTGCCACGGGTGGGGGCTGGAGAGGGACCTTCAAGGGGCCCGGGCCATCCCTCCCCCGGCCTCAGGTAGAGGAGTGAAGTTTAACCCCCATGTGCCCACGCCATCCTTCTGGTGCCTTCTCTGGGTGACCCTGTGTGTCCTCTGGCCGCAGTGGTCCAGAGGCCTGGGGGGCCCTGAGAGCCGCAGGACCTTTCTAGCTCCTGGCCTAAGGATTCAGCCGCCGCCCCCAGAGCAGCACACGAGGGCATCAAGGCTGGGCATCAAGGCTGCAGAACACTGTCTGCCGCTGCCCTGGGTCAGGCCTGCTCCCCCTCCCCCAGGGACTCCCTTCTCATGGGAGAGCCACCTGGTGGAGAGGACCGGTGTGCCAACCCTCAGCCTCACGGGTAGAAGTCCTGGCGCACGGGGAGCGCGGGGCAAACACACAGTCCCTCCATCAGCCAGCTTGGCCAGCATCCCTGCTGGTCTCCGGGATGCCCTTGGGCCCCTCTGCCCTCCTCCCTGCCCCAGGGGCTCTGCTCTCCCCCAGGTGACCAGACCTGCTCCGGGGGCATAGGTCACAGCCGTCATCTGAACCATCCCAGGGAGGCAGAAGGCCCTGGAGCTTGAACTCCTCACTACAGAAACGACTTCTGCTAACTCACCACCTAACCATGCCCTTGCCTTCCTCTCCGCCCATGGGCCAGGGCCAGCTTCGATGATGCTAATTCTGATGGTTGGAAATAAAGCTCCAAGGTCTCGGGCTTTCCCTGGGAGCCTCACCCGGTGCTGGGCGCCTGGCAGGGACGTTCCCATTTATTCTTCACGGAGTTTCAAGGCAAGAGAAGCAACAGGACCTACTCAGATCTATGGAGCAGCCCAGGTCAGCCCCACTGAGGGGAGGGCATCAAGGGAGAGCCCCAGAGGGGCTGGGAAGGACGCCACCAGCCACGGAGCCCTGCAGCTCTGAACACATCGGATCCTCACGGGGGCACCCCTTTGCTTCTGGCCCGGAAGCGTCCCCCAGGCAGCCGCCATGCGGGATGTCCATGGAAAGGAGCTCCCGTGGCAAGCTTCTCCAGAGCCTACCAAGAGGAACAGCTCCAGGGCACCCTGCCCTGCCCCCCATCCGGGGCCCCGGGGGCGCCACCTTCCCCTCGTGCTGCTTCGCGGGGGAGGTGCAGGACAGGCGCTGCCGTCATGTGGCCTGGGGCGAAGGGGGCTGGCCATTCCACAGAGACAAGGCGGGGAAGGGTTGGCGTCCTGACCTAGGTGAGTACTGGGGTGACTCTCTCGGAGGGGCCGTGGGTCCTTTGGTGGGGTACTTCTTGTGCCGGGGAGTTGAAGGGGGTGGGGGGCCCACAATCATATCTATCCTGGCGAGCGAACAAGAAAAGAGACACCAGCAAACGCATCGTGAGGCGCACGGAAGGGGAGTCGGCGGGGGGACACCCCACACGCAGTGCAGGGACCACCACGCTCGCCTGGCGGGGGCGGCGCCTGATCTCTCCCGTGCCCGGCTGCGCGTAGGACTGGGAAGCCGCGGCCTCACGGCTGAGCCCAGCCCGCCCGGGGTGTGCACAGGAGCCACTGCCGCCAGTGCACGGGCCCGAGGACACCGGCCGTGGACAGCCGTGCAGCTCTGCCGGCGACGGGCAGGACATCCCGGCTCCCTGGGCCCATTTGTGTTGTTTTTCCAGACAGAAAGGGAGGGGAAGGGAAGTTGAGGACAGAAGAGCCTCGTGGACCAAATCAGCCTCCCTGAGACGTGGGAACAGCCCAGCGGCCGAGACACTGCCCTGCTCTCACACATCTGCGTGTGCACGCTCACGCGTGAGCACACACGCACACACAGGTCCGCACCGTCCTCGCACACTCGCACACATACTCGCTCACACACATTCCCACAGATCACACACATGCAACCGCGCACATGTCTGTCCACACACACAGCACAGGTCTAGCTGGTGCTCCGGGGGGGGGGATGGTAAGTGATGGGCTTCCTGGCCTTAGCCCGTGTGGAAGAAGGGGTCACCACCCCCCGGCTTCCCGCCCCACAGGAGCAGCTGTGGGTCCAGAGGGACCCCTGCGGGGCATCCCGCTGCAGGACTGGAGACGCCCCCACGGCAGGCGCTCACTGACCTCCCCCGAAGGAGGACTTCCATCCTGCCGGGGGCTGGGCAGCTGGGCGGACTTAGGACTGTCCCTTGGCTGGCCAGACCTTCTCCCAGCCAGGGCCCAGGGTCCTGGGGCAGACAACCCACAGCAGCCCAGTTTAGGGGACCTGGGCAGGGGAGGGAACGTTGGCAGAACCATGGGACCCACTTCGGGAGGGACCCCAACAACAGTCCCGTGGGCTCCTCCCAGAACCTGCAAACACATGTGCTCACACAGGCTTGCTTAGACGTGGCGGGGGGTGCACACCTGTACGCTCGTGTGTCACGGAGGTAGCGAGTGCATGTATGTGGGCACAAGGCTGAGAGTGACTGTGTGTGCACGTGTGTCTGTGTATCCGTGCATATACATGTATGTCGGTCCACGTGCAAGGGTATCCATACCTGTGTGCCCATGGGCTGCACCCATGTGTGTCTGTGCCCCGTGCACACATGCATGCGCCCTGCGTGTGTCCGTGTGTGTCCACGTGCATATGCATATGCTATCTGTGTGCTGACGTGCGCTTGCACACAGGAGTGGACATGCGTCCTATGCATGTGTGTCCACGCCTGTGGCCGGTGCGCAGGCAAGCCCAGAGTGAGCCAGCGGCCTCACACGCGCACAGCTGCCTGTGAGCAGAGCACCGGGCGCCCCGCCATTGTCATGCCCCAGCCCTGCTTCCTGCCAGGGGAGGGGGAGCCCCCTGTGAGGCCAGGGCGTGGACGGGTCTTTCTGCTCCCATGAGCGTCCTTGCTTCCCAACAGGGCTTGTGAACCTGCCTCATCCCGAACACACGCACACACGTGTGCACACACACGCGCGCACGTGACATGACACACACAGAGGCACATGCGCGCACACACATGCAGGACATGTGTACGCACGCGCGTGCGCCCGGCACACATACGCACACACGTGTGCACACATGCACCCGTGCGGGTGACCACAGATGCCTGGAGACGTGCGCTCACGTGTGTGCGGTCACACGACACCTGTGCGCACGGGCGGGCGTGTGAGTGCACACACACACACACGCTCACCCCCCACAGCAGGGGCAGGAGGGAGAGGAGGGAGAGACGACAGAAACAGTCAAACAGACCACACGAGGACACAGCAGGACGCCCGCACAGGGCCGGCGCAGGGCTGGAGGCGGCAGCGGGCAAGGCTGACCACCGTGTGCCCCTCTGCACCCCCACACTACACCTCACCCCCATACTGGCCCCCGAGAGCCGCCACCCCACTGGGGCCACGCTGGCTGTGGCCCAGACGGACCCCCAGGGCCGGGCAGGCGGGTGCTGTCTTGCCTGGACTGCAGGTTTTTGATACGGGACAGCATGTCCAGGTGGCCGGCCGAGTACTGCTCAATCACGTCCATCACGTCGTACGGCCGCAGGCTCTCTTTGAACTTGCGCTTGGACACCAGGAACCGCATCACACTGGGGGAGCACGGCCGTGAGCCCTGGGCCAACCCCTGCCCTGGGCCCTCCCAGCATCTCCCAGAACATCCACCGGTCGCATTGCCACAGTGATCCGGCCCCACGCACCTGCCACATCCCCAGGCCACGCCCAGGCCCGGGGGGCAGACAGACCCTCGTCCCTGGGGTGGGCAGGGGACAGCTCTGACAGGGGCGGGTGCGCGGGAGCCAACACCAGCTCCCAAAGGACCCAAAGCCCAGGGACAGAGACCGCACCCCTCCTGGACTCCGCAGGGAGGCCCCTTGCCCTGGACGCTGGGTGCCTCACCACACAGCCCGGATGCTGACTTTGAGGCCCGGGGTCAGATCTTCTGTCACAAACTCGCAGTTGCAGCTCTTAATGTCTTCTGCAATGTCTTCCCCGGGGAGGCTTGCTTCTGGGTGGAAGGAGACACAGCCCATGAGGGGCTGAGCTGCGCCAGGGGACCGACATTGGGGACGGCGTCAGGGGAGCCCCGAGAGCAGCACCCTGCGCTCTGGAAACCCACCCTCTGTCCCACCGAGGCCCCAAGAGAGGCCCACGTGATGGCTGAAAAGTGGACGGACGGGCAGACCCATGGCTATGGCCGCAGGAAACAACGGAGCATCAGCCCGCCAGAAACCGGCGTGAAGCCTGATGGTGGCCCGGCGTGGAAACACCTGGAAACAGGTGCACACAGCATGTGATTCCACATGTGGGAAATGTCCAGAACAGACTGGCGGTGGCCAGGGGCTGGGAGGGACTGCTAGCGGGCACGGGTCTCCTTTGGAGCATGGAAACCCCTAGAACGAGAGAGGTGATCTGGGCTGCGCCATGAATGTGCTCACGGCTGCTGAGCTGTTCGCTTGAAAGCGGCTGGTTTCATGTTACGTGACTTCACCTCGAAAAGAAGAAAGGGAAAAGGGAAGCTGCTGCTCAAAGAGGCTACAGGGCCCCGGAGGTGCCCGGCAGGGCGCCGCTGGACCGCGGGAAGCCCGCGGCCTGACCCACCTTCCGAGTTCTGTCGGGACGCAGCGCCCTTAATCCGGAAGGCCTGCCTCGCCCGGCTGCGGTCCCCAAAGCTCCAGCTCTTCGGCACCTTGCTTGGGCTGTCCTCCAGACTCTGGTCGGCGCTGGGAGACCGCCGGACGGTCTGGGCCTGAGGGGACCCCTTGCCCTTGGCAGCCACACCTCGGGGGCTGGAGAAGACACGGTCTTTCAAACTGACCTTCTGACTGCTCCCACGAGGGCCGACAGGCGGGCGGACACACACAGAAAGACAGCAAGAGAAGTCACTCCGGAAGGAACGCGCACACCCCACTGTCCGTTCACCGCTGACGCCTACACGTGGAGGGGGGTGGTGGCAGGGAGACAAGGAGCGCAGGGGGGTGGGCACTCCGAGGGCCACTCAGGGGCTCGGCCTGGCTGGGGAGGGGTCAGCGGACACTTAAATCACTTTCGGTGCTACAGGAAGGTGCCAGGGTCCTCTCCACACAGTCCTGTCAGGTCTCCCCCTCCAAGGTGATGTGAAGGCCTCAAACGCCGTGCAGGTACGGCTTTTCCCTGCACACCTTCTGTGGGTCCCTCCAGTGGTTCGCCCCTGGATGGCCCGCCCCTCCGCGCCCCATCCCTGCCCCGAGGCAGCCTCTTCCCCCTGCCGCCTGCCCCAGGGTCCGGAGGCCAAGCCCCAGGAATCACCTGGAGGAAGGGTCTGGGCCAGGAGTGGGAGCCTGGGAATTACGGAGAGGGCAACTGTCCCCTGTTGACTCTGCAGGGCAGACCTGTCCAGCCCTCTTGCCCCCAGGGCCAACACAGGCCCCACGCCCACACACAGGAGATGTCTGGGGACCGCAGTCCCACACCGCCAGAGAGACAGAGTAGACAGGCTCCCTCTGCCAGCCGCCTCGCAGGAACAGACCTCTGGTCTGAGGCCACAGTGGGGGCAGGGAGCAACGCTGGCCGGCCAGCCACAGCCCTGCCGGGGTCCCCAGGCTCCCACCCCCGGGCCTGTATCTCTTGGAAACTATTAAGTCTGGGCCACAGCCAGGAGGCAGGAGGGGGTCACGATGGTCCAGGTGCCGGTCAGGCCCAGGGACCCGGCGGCCACCGGCCACTTTCCACTGTCCACAACCAAGGCTCTTGTGACCTGAGGACCTGCTCCCACCCAGCCACCGGCAGGAGCCGCAGAACTCCTGAAACAGTCTCTGAGGCAGGCCCTGCGCTGCCCCGAGGTATGTGACAAGCTGCCTGGGGTCTCTCCTCTCACTGGGAAGCTGCCACCACGTGCTCACCCCTCAGACCTCGCCAGACCCCGCTGTGGCTCCCCCGGGTCAGCCGCCTCCAGCAACCCCAACCAGGACCCACAGCCAAGACAGGTCCCTCGGACGGCGCAGACGTGACTGGGCCACGGAGAAGTGGCCAGCGGCCTGGTCTGTCCAGTCTGACGCTGCAGTCCCAGCCAGTCCCCCCCGGGCAGCTGAGATCATCCGTTGGCTAGACTGAAGGCCTCGTGGGATGACGAGAAAAGGAAGAAAGGAGCCCCTAAGGGCTGGCAGTCGCCTCAGGTGTGCGTCGCACTCAGGAGTGGGGCAGGCTTCTACTTGCCCGGGTCACCGGCCCCAAGCCTGGAACAGGTGTGCCCAGCATGAGGCCAAGAATGGGCAGACCGGAGCCGAGGGAAGCCCAAATCCAGGTGCCCCAGGGCCCTCGGCACAGATGACCTTCCCCTTCCCAATGGAGACCAACATTTGGTCCGGGGAGACCATAAGAAGCAATGGCCTCACCTAGCCCCCAGTAGCCGGACCCACACAGCTGCCCCGAGGACGGAGCCACAGGAAGGCCTTGCTGTCGCAGCCCTGGAATGCCCGGGCTGGGGAGGGGCACTTGGCCGGAGGAGGCCACCGTGCGGATGGCCTTGCCCGGCTCAGCCGGCAGGCGCCCTGCCCACTAGACCTGCCCCACACCCAGCGGCGCACACGGCGCCTGCTCCCGGAGGCCTCAAGGGAGGGTTGCCCTAACCTCACAGGCCAAGGACAGAAGCAAACGAACACGAAGGATGGGGTTCTGGCCGCCTGCTCGGGGGAAAGAGCACTCGGCGAGACCACCGTGTGTGTGAAAGGGCACTTTCCTGGCATCTGCCCTTTGGCGTTCACACGGGACCAAGGAGAAAGCTCGGGAGGGTCTGGGGGGAAAGCCAAGCCCCAGCCTTTCCCCCCCTGCCTGCCACCCCGTAGCGAGATTCTAAGGCCCGGGGCCAGTTGAGCAGAGGTGGGGCAAGGGGAGGCCCCGCCTGCGATCTGCCACACCTGAGTCTGCACAGCCAGAGCCTGGCTCAGCCGGGAAGAGGAGCATCCACAGGAGCGGCCCTGCCTCACCGGACCACTGGACCACGGATGCCCAGGGAAAGTGCGACGGATGCAGTGACATTCGTGGGACGGGCACACAGCAAGGCTGAGCTTGGCCTGGGCTCCTGGACTGGCTGTGGGCCCCGCCGGCCCTTCTGGTCCCCAAGCAGCGTGACCACAGCCCCCGACCCGAGGGACCAGCCGGTGGCCCCACAAGCTCTGTACAAGCAGGACAGCTTCGGCCGGGGCCCCAGATCTCCACTCCCGGGGCTGCAAGTCTTCCCCAAGCGCCTACCTCCGGGAGCACACAAGCAAGGTGGACAGGCGGGGGAAGGCAGGCCTCCGAGCCCCTGTCCGGGGGAGACTCAGGAGCATGCAGATGCGGGTGGACAAGCATGCCGCCGCCTGGGCCCCCGGGCCTGCCGACAGCCCCACCCCCGCCCGCCGCTCCACCACTGCTTCCGGGGCATGCACGGGGGGGGGGGGGGGGCACAGCTGCCCACACGCTGCACTGCTCAGGGAGGGAGGCAGGCAGGAGGGAGACGGGCTGGGGGGACCCAGAGCAAGCAAGAGGACAGACGCTTCCACACACCCGACAGCAGACAGTGGACAGAGAGTGGAGGTGCGGACAAGGGGCCCACGGTGCAGAGGGCTGGGGTGGGGGCCGATTTTCCACCGTCCCGTGTCCAGTCCACCCTAAACCAGGCCTGTGGAGGGAAGGGGGAGCCGAGGGTCTCCGGCTCTGTGGCGTGTCCGGGGAGCCCGGCACACACGGGACGGAGCTGCCTCCCGCAGGCGGGGCGGCCAGTTCGGAGTGGCCGTCCTCGGGTGCGTAGTAGAGGTGCTAGATCGGCGATCCCCAGGGAAGGGGCTCACCAGAGAGCAATGAGGGCCCCAGAGGCCACTGGCGCCCGATCTGGGCTTCCGAGCCCCTGCCGGCCCCCCGGCCTGCTCAGAGCAGGGCATGGTTTGGCTCGGGGAGAGAAGTATGTTGGTGCGGCCACCACCGTCAGCGGGAGGCAGTTCGGAATCACAGGGGCGGGGGAGGGGGCCTGGCGCTCCGCGGCAGCGAGGGGCCGCGGAGGCCGCGCTGCCAATCAGAATCGTGGCCGGGGGGGGGGGGGGGGGGCGGGGGGGGGGGGGGGCCGGCCGCCCCCCCCCCCCTCCAGACCCTCGGGTGAGGGGGGTGCGTGGGGGGGGGGGGGGGTGGGGAGCCGTGCAGCAGGCGGTCAGTGCGCGCGGCTCGCCCCGCGGTACCTAGAGTGTCCGGGGCAGCATCCACACAGGGACTCTCTGCACGGTCTGCCTTTACTGCAAATGAGGAGAGCGCAGTTAGTCCTGGCGCTCAGGCGGACAGGACGCACGGCCACCCTGCGGCCGCGGCTCTGGGCTTGGGGTCCGCCCACCGCGCCCGCGTCCAAGCAGCGGCCGTGAGGGGGCCGCACAGAAAGTCTCCCGCCGGCCTGGAAAAGAAAACAGTGCCCTATTTTTGGAGAAAAAAAAAAAATCCCGTTTTTTTCCTCCAAAAATACCTTTTCCTTCCAGAGTTAGAGTTTTGGGCCGTGTCTTTTTAAAGATGTATTATTTTTTGCTATATTCATGCCAACAAAAAAATAATACATGGGCAAGACTTTGCAAAAGGCTGGTTCCGGATGGACAGGATTCCGGAAAGCACACACTTTAGAGAGAAGAACGTGCAGTCTGGCGCCACAAACCAGTCACCGAGGCTTCGCCAGGCCCTGCCAGCCGGAAGTGGCCCCAGTTTACCCTGGAGGGAAGCTCAGGAGAGCAGCCTTGGGGACCCTGGATCTAAATGGACTGCCGACATCGGTCCCCTGGGGCTCGGTGCTGAAGCCCTGAGCCAGGCCGGACCTGCTGGCCGCTCTTTGGGCAAAGCCCCACCCGGGTCCACACTCCCTGCTCCCCAGAAGCCGGCCCAGAAGGCCCTAGAGCCGTCTCTGCACGAGCTCAGGCACATTTCTAAGCAAAAATGAAAACCACACACCAGGACCTTCTGCTTTCCTGGGGTCTCCCTCCCCCCATCCTTCCACCTGTCTGTCCCTCCGTTCCCCCCCCCCCCCCACAGCTGCTGCTCAGACGGCCGCCCTCATACTGTGGGGCCAAGGAACCAGACGCACCGACCACCACTCTCAGAAACCAGCCCCGGGCCTCTGTGCCCAGAGTCCACACAAGTAAATGCTGGTGGCGCCTGCCTGTGTTCAATAGGACCTCAGGGAAAGGACACACTCTGCTAGTCCCGCAGGGTGAGCAGGTCAGGCTCCTCAGAAAACTGTGTGTGGCCCAGGGGCTGTGAGGGCCACGGTTCCCCCACAAGCCACCCTCCCCTCCAGGGGGATTGCCTCTCTGCGGGGTCCTCCCGGTGAGGGACCAAGGGTCCAGCCTTATCAGCAAATGGGCTCACCTGGGGACAAGAGTCCATGTGACTCAGTACCCAGGCCCATGCTCTCCACTGCCCAGCAGCTCTGGCTGCTCACAGAAACCCCTCAAATTTGGGGCAAATGCTCTCTCCCAAGGCACACCTCACGTCAGCCACAGTCTCACCACAGCCGAAGACGGGACCCTCGTGCTCTCCCCTCCCAGGGCTCCACAGGCCAGCACACAACCCCCACCCCCCAGCACCTGGAGGCTCTGTCCAGGGGAAGAGGACAACAGGGGGATGGTCTCTGCCTCCAACACCTTAGAAGGGCCCCAGCTTTGACCAAACCCCCAGCCAGCTTTGCTGCCTTCAAAACTCCCTGCACAGACACGGGGCCTAGATGCATGACCCGGGTGTCCCGAGGGCGTCCCGAGGCCCAATAGCCTGGGGCCTGGCTCACGGTACTTAGTGAAAACTGAAACAGCCCCATGTGGCCAGCGGCTCCTGGGCTGCCGGAGCCCACGGCCTCCCTGAGCATGGCCCCAGCCTGGCACTGGGATTTTCCTGCCCACAGAAGCCGACAGCAGAGTCCCGGGAGTGGCGGGCGGGCGAGGCCGGGGGCCTGGGGACCACGTGGGAGGAAGAGGCGCCCACAGACACTCACCAAGACCAGACTGAACAGACGGGCACTCAGACACGGCACGCGGCTGCCGCCGACGAGGGGACCCACACGGACAAGGGGGCAAAGCAGCTGGAGGACAGGGTCTCCTCCAGGCACGGGGTGGGAGTGCGCGGTGAGAAACAGGGTGGGGCAGAGGGCAGAGGGCAGAGGGCAGGTCACAGACACGCCCAGAGCAGCGCAGCCCGAGACCCTGCAGCCTGCCCCCCACCCCCCACCTTGACCTGATCCAGGCGGCCTCGGCCTGACACCAGCACAGCCACAGCGGGTCCTGCCGAGCCGAGGACCCCGCACGGCCGGGGCGCATACCCGCCACGACCCCGGACTGGGAGGGCGCCTCGCGGCAGCTGGGCAAGGGTCTCCGTGCCCGCCCCATCCACCTGCCCAGACGGGTCAGCGCCAGCGGGATCCTGGCATGCAGGCGGCAGGCAGCGGCCCGGCCACGACCGCCCAGCGCCACACACCGGACGCAGGGCCCACACCCCCATCAGCACTTCCCAGAGCAGGGTCTCCCTGCCCCGCAGCCCTGGGACAGGCCCAGCCTCTCACGGCCCCGGCGGCAGAACAATTTCCTGCCTCCCTGCTACGCACTAGCTGCTGGCAAGGGGGTCTGCGGCTGCCCAGGGGAGGGACAGAAACGCCACCCTCCCTCACCCGGCGACAAGTGTGCCTCACAGGGTCTTAGCCCAGCGTCCGCCAGGAGGAGGGCCGGGCCAAGCTGGCCCCTGGGGAAGCCGCTGGGTCACGGGCAGGCAGGGACACACGGACACACGGGGAGGAGACAGAGGGGCGTGTGCGGAAAGCGGGGGGGCCACGGAACGTGCCGGAGAGCCGGGGGCTCCCGCGTGTCCTCACCTTGAGTCCTGCTGTCAGGGTCAGCCACCTCCTCCCCAAAGACAGACGGACGTGAAAGGGGCCCAAGAAGGGCAGTGACAAGATTAAAGGCACTTGGGGGGCAGGCAAGAGTGTCCAAATTGGGGGGAGGGCAGGAGAGAGAGAGAGAGAGAGAGGCTGAGACGAGGGTCGTGGGGAGGGCCACGAGAAGCCGCATCAGGCCGGGGGGCCTCGGGTGGACGGGGCAGAGCCACGGGCCCGCCTCCCCCGGGCTCAGGGTGTGGCGCGGAAGCACCGGGGGGCCCAAGGAAGGGGGAAGGGGCAGCCCCATGGTCCCCCACACGCCAGGCCGAGCTCGGCATGCGTTTCCCCCTCCACCCTGACGGCGAGCACGGCACTCTCCATGCCGGGTAGAGCAGCCTGGCCCCTGGCAGCTTTCTGAGCCGCTGTGAGGGGTCGGTCCCCGTTGTTCCTCTGGCCGGTTTGGGGCCACTCCTTGCGATTCCAGACACAGGCTGTCAGTCCCCCCAGGGGCACTCGGGGGATGGGGGAGGGCAGGGCTCAGACTAACTCCAGCTCCACAAACTGAAGGGACAGCTGAGTCACTGACGGTCCAGAAGGGCACTGATGGAAGGCAGAGGGACTCTGGCCCGGGGTCGGGGTACTAGACTCAGGCTGCGGCCTGGGGACAGGGTGCCAGGGGGACCCCAGGCTCAGAGGACTCAGCACAGTGACACACACGCAGGCTGGGCTCCATCAGGCTTGAAAGTCATGAACTAGCCGGGAGTTTCCCTTGAACACGGGGCAATGGCAGGTAGCTGTCCACCCTTCTCCACCCTCAGAGATAGCCCCGGGCAGTCCCTGCGCGGCCCGGTCCCTAATCAGCTCGACAGCTAACACACCTGCAGAGGCTAGACAAGCAGCACTCACAGAACAGGGGCATCTGTCTCCACCGGAGAGGTGGGACACGGGGCCAGAGTGGGGGTGTTTGCCGACACCCTCCTGCCTTAGGGCCCCGGGGTGGGCGGGGTGGGGGGAGCGGTCCCTCGCTGTCCACCCTGGAGCTGCAGGACAAGGGTGCTGAGCACAGGCGAAGTGATTAAAGGGCCCAAGGCGGCCGGCAGTGTCCAGACACACAGTTCCACACGTGGGCACGCACAGGGCCCCTGCTGACACGCAGTGAACAGACACGGAGGGACCGGCACCGGGCACAGCAGCGAGCCCGAGGCAGCAGGGGACAAGCAGGCACTGACCTGGGAGACGGCTCCGGCTGAGGCTCCTTCCTTTAAACAGAAGCGACAAGACGGTGAAAAGTTGGCCCGCCGCGCAGACCCCACCGCACAGAGGGCCCAGTGGACCTCCCGTGGCACCCACCACGGTCCACAGCCCCACCCGGCCCCCACCTGAGGCCCACCCACCCCAAGAGCCCCCGGAGGGCCCGAGGAGGCAGTCCTGCAGGAGAGAGGGAGTTCTGGAAGTGGTGACAGCCCCGGGTTTTAATGAGAAGCGCCCCCGTTAGGTTTCGGAGGAAGCGAGTAGAGATGGAAACACGAGTGACATCCAGCTTCCATGGTCCCCATTCAGGACAGGCAGCTGCTCTGGTCCTCCTTCCGGTCGGAGGGCCACGGCCCTGGGCCCATGCTCTGCCCACCCTGCCCGTGGCCTGATGGTGCCTGACATTCATCAAGGACAGCAGCGGGAGGGTGGCGGCTGGGACCGTGCTCGGCAGATCCCTGGGACGACACCAGGCTCTTTGGGGCATGTTGGAAACCTTCGCAGAGCACGTGGTGTACTGATGCTGCTGGCAGAGCCCCGTGTGACCGAGGAGGCAGGAGGGCGCACCCAGATTTCCTGCTTGGGGCTGGGGTCCCTGAGGACTGGCCCCAACCTCCTGGGCTCCCCTTCCCATGACGTCCAGGGACATGGTATGCAAAGGCCTCCATGGGAACCCCAGCCCTGCACTGCCCCATCCCGCAGCCGCCCTCAGCCCAGCCCAGGGCATCCCTGCACATCTTCTGGGACCACACATCCGGTGGCTTCAAGCAAGGCAATTCCCCTCTCAGTCCGGAGGCCGGAAGTCAGAAATCGGGTGTTGGTCGGCAGCAACACCCTCCCTGCCCCCAGGGCTGAAGGGTTCGGTCCCTCTGCCTCTCCCAGCCCCTGGGGCCTAGGCGCTCCTGAGCGGTGAGCCCGCTCCTCGCTTTGGTCTCTGCCTCCTTGTCACATGGCTTCTCTCTTGTGTCTGTCTTTTCAGGACAGGGGCCACTGGACCTAGGGCCACCCTAATCCAGGAGGACCTCGTCTCAGGGTCCTGAACTCCACCTGCAAACCTTCCCTTTCCCCAGGTTAGGTCCCATTCACGGTTCCAGTGCATGGACATATCTTCTGGGCCACCATTCATCTCACTACAGCATGTGCCCCCTTACATCCCAATCCCCCAAAGTCTTAACCCAGGACAGCATCAGCCCTATGTCCAAATGTCAGCGAGAACTCAGCGGCTCAGAGTCCGGAATCCCAGCGTCCCAGTCATCTGACCCCAGTGTGAGTGAGACTCTGGGTGGGACCCTTCTGGGGTAAAAGTCCTCCCCAGCTGGGGACCTGTCCTCTCTAGAAGGCCAGTGATCTGCTCCCCAAACACAACAGGGCAGACATATGGTCCAAACGGGGAGGAGTTGGGAGGAATAAAGGTCACCACTACCCGAAGTCTGAGACCCAGCAAGAAACTCCACTTGGGGACAAATGCCTTAGTCACCCCCAGGGGCCCCGGGACCCAGGCCCCAGCCTCAGCATGCATGTGCTCAGAGCTGTCCTCCCCTCGCCCAAAGGGCCCCACATATTTGTGGCCCCGTCAGCCTTTTTCCAGCCTGCAGGCCCCCAGACTACCCTGCCTTCCTGCCCATGGTCGGTCTCTGTCCCTGCCGGCCCGGAAATTCTGCTGGAATAACATTTCTAAGACTCCGTGGGCCATGTACATGCCCCCACATACACCCCCAGACCGACGCCCCTGTGCAGGAGGGCCTCCCACATCTCCTCTGGGTGACCCATTCTACTCCCCTGTGCCGAGAAGGGGACCCCCCCGACCACCCATGGGAGCTCTCCCACCACGGCCATCCAGCCATGCCCATGGCCCCCTTTCCAGAGCAAGCATTCCCCCACCCCACCCGCTGTGTCCCTAACTTAGAGTCCCTGTGGCCTGGACTGGCCAAGGCATCAAGTCTTCCCGTGCTGGCTTCTCTGCTCAGTTCTTTGAATTCCCCTCCTCCGCGCGTTTTCCATAACCAGAAGGGAAACCAGACGGCATTTTCCACACCAGCTTAGAAGCCGGGCACATCCTAGGTCTGCTTTCTGGCCCACGCTGGCCCAAGGTCCCCCTCGCTGTCTGCCCCTGTCTGACAGGAGTGGCCATGTCCCCAGGAGCACTCACTTCCGCACCACAGGACTGTCGCAGCAGCCCCCTCGGTCCCAGGAGCAAGAGCTGCACCCACTGGCCAGAGACACCAGAGCAAAGGAGCTTACACCGCAGGATGCCACGCTCTGGTTCCTGCCTCCCCCAGCTGCTGGTGGCCCCAGGCATCCTGGGCTTGTGGCCACAGCACCCGCATCTCTGCCTCCCTTCGTGTGGCCGTCTTTGCTGCCTACTCTATGAACACTCATAACTGGACTTAGGGCCGGTGCTAACCCAGAAGGATCTCGTGTTGACACCCTTTCCTTAGTAACGTCCGCAAAGACTTTCCAAGGAAGGTTTTGTGTCCAGCTTGCTGGGTGGACGTACCTCGGGGGGGCAAGTGGGTCCCTGCTCACCCTCCACGGCACCTCTTCAGAGGCGGCAAGCCCTTGGCATGGGGCCCCGGCGGCCATCTCTCTGTCCACTCTCCTGCTGGCCCCCTCCCCCACACAGCCGGCTCTGTGCCCCCCACGCTCAAGTCCCAGAGTTCACGATCACAAGGAACCAGCAGGCGCCAGAGTGGGTGCGACTGGCCACTGCTCCGGGGAGATGCAGGGCTGGCTCTCCACTGCCCGTGCGCACCCCCAAACCAGCGACCCTCTGGGGCTGGAAGCCTCCACCATTTGGCAGAACCAGAAAGACACCAGGATCTCCAGACCCCAGGGCGTCTGGTAGCTGCCGGCCCCTGACCGGGGTCCCCTCGCAGGACGGCGCCCAGCCCAGAGCCCCTCTGCTGACCTGAAGGTGAGCCCGGATTTGCTCTTAAGGTTCCGCAGAAGCTCCAGCTGGTTCAGAGGCGGGATGAGTCTGCGGCGATAAGAGACACAGTGAGCTCCTGCCTGCCAGAGCCTGGGGGACCCACAGCCCGGCTCTCGCCAGCGTCCACGTCACACACAGGCACCTGCGGTGGTGATGCTGGGGCCATGGGTGCGGCCTGTCCCAGGCAGGGAGAGGGGAGAGCTCCCTGGCCACCAAGCCACTGTGGGCCATCTGCACCCTCTGAGCTGCGCCCCTCAGGGGAGCCAAGGCCCTGAGGTGGGCGCACCAGCGTGCACAGCCCCCAGACTGCCCACGGGGAACGCGGAAGGGGGCCAGAGTTCCCAGAAGACAGGCTGGGGGGCCCTTCTATCCTCCCCTCTCCCTCTCCAATCCCTGAACACCTCCAAGGGGCAGTACAGCACCCCTCTCTGCAAAGGAACGCCCTCTGCGGAAGTCAGGGCCGGGGCCAGGGTCCGGGCTTTGACGGGTAGCGAGAAGCCCGCTCCGGGGGTGTGGGTGAGTTGCCTGGGTGGCTGGAGGAAAAGCCCCTGCATCCTCGGCAAGCCCCGCCCAGCTCCACGCCCCTTCCCGACCAGGCCACACCCACCCAGGACGCACCTCTCGTCCAGCCACCCCGGCCTGCAGCCCCACAGTGGCCCCGGGGCAGCTCCAGCCAGAAGTCCCATGGAAGCCGAGAAGGTAATTAATTCCTCACCTTGACACCAAGGCCGGGGACATGCAAACCCTGGGAGGTTCCGGGGGACCCCCAGCTGTCCCCACCTCCAGCCACAGGACTAGGGTCCCTCAGGGGGACTCCAGCCTGCTCCCAACATCCGGGGCTAGTTCTTTCCCTCACCCAGCCTCTGTCTGACTCAGGTCTCACTACTTTCTGCCCTCCAGACACTTCTCATCTCATTTTGAACAAACACCCCTTGTCCTACAAGACCCTGGCCCTGGTCTCTCCTTCCTGATGCAGCCCCCACCCAGCTGATGTCCCATCACACTCTGTGAGCTCCCCACCCCACTGTGACCCCCACCCTCTGTGACACCCCCACTCTGCTCTGACAACCCCACTCGGCTGTGACCCCCACCCTGCTGTGATTCCCCCACCCCGCTGTGACCCCCCACTCGGCTGTGACCCCCCCAACCCACTGTGACCCCCCACCCTGCCATGATCCCCCCCACTCTGCCCTCAGCTTTGGAATTCCAAGCACTCCTTTAAAACCACGCTCAAAGACCCCCACCCAGCCGCAGCCCCTAACACTGTCCTATCTCTCCTTGACCCTGGGGACAGCTGACCCACCCCAGCCCATGGGGCCTCCATCCAGCATCAGTGTCTTAAGCCTCTCCCTGGTGTGGGAGGGGACAGCATCTCTACCCTGGGGGCTCAGCCTCACCTGCCCGCGGTGTCTACCTTCTCCTCTCTCCTCCCACAGGTCTGGCCGGACCCCACCCTGACCTCATGGGACATCATTCAGTGGCTCCCCAGTGCCCCCAGAGTCAAAGGATTGCTGGCCCCCTGAATCCATGGCACGGATGCCAGCTTCCTAGTGTCTGGCTTCGCTCCAGCCCCTCCACACCCCTCCTTGCCCGGCTTCCTGACGCCAGTGCCCCCCCACCCTGCCCTGTGGGTCCTGCCCTCAGTCACTGCTGTCTGGTCTAGCTCAGCCCCCTCTGGAGGAAAGCCAGGTTCCTCCTAGGGGCACCCCGTGAGCTCTCCCTCTCCTCTCCCTCCTGCTTGCCCTTCCCCTTCCCTGCCCCTCCTCCTCCAGGCCCAGCCCGGTCCTAGCAGGTCAAGAATGAGCAGGAGGTGAGGGCAATCAGGTTGGCTCACGTCACCAGCACAGCAGAGGCCCCAGGGCTGGACACGGGGACAAAACCAGCCTCTCCACTCCCCCTCAACCACCCACCCATGGGCCTGCAGCAGAGACCGCGGACAGCACCCCCTGTTCAGCCCACACACACACACACACACACACACACACACACACACACGAGTGGAGCAGATAGGATGTCATGCCTTGGACACACAGCAGCAGGGGACGGAACATGGACGGGCAGGGCCACTGCAGGGGCGTGCACGCACCACACACGTGAGGGCCACACACACAGCCCCCATCACCTGGAGGGCAGTCATGGAGGACGAGGGTGCAGCGTGCCAACGGGAGTAGGGGACGTGTCGGGGGCATCCCACAGGAGTGAGGAGGGGCTGCTAGGGGACAACCCTCGTCACCCAGGCAGAGGTGGGGAGGGGCTGGGACTGGCTGCAGAAGATGGGCCAAGGGAGGCTAGGAAGAGCCTCAAGCAGGGTCCCCCCAACTGCTGGGGCAGCCTGGAGCCCGAGGAGCCCAGGGCCAGCACCCCAGGGAGGACACTGCCCCCCGCCCCCCTCCTCCTCTGCACAAAGCCTCTGGGACAAGCGGCCAGTAAACGGCAGGTGCTAGGGAGGAAATGCCCATGGGGCTGCGCACCCCACTCCCATTTGGAAATAGGGTGAGCGGTCTAACACAATTCCCACGCGGGGCGCCATAGGCCAAGAGCTTCTGCCTGGGGACCCCAGGCTTGGTCTACGGGGGGAGATTGTGGACCCTTGCTCTGCTGGCCTGTGTGCGGATGCACTCATCCCACATTGTCCGTCCCCGTCCCTCAGGGAAGGACCTAGAGAGGGGCTGTGCTGTGCGTGGGGAACGATTTCCTGTAGGAGCTCAGCACCCCCACTCTGGGCAAGTGAGCCCCTTTCCTCCCTACGGTAGGAGTGAGACCTCTGTGTCCCCCCACCGCCGGTGTGGACAGAGTGACCGGGGACAGCACACAAGGACCCCAGGCTCTCGGTCCTCCCAGGTCTAGAGAGGGAGTCCAAGCAGCGTCAGAGGTGAGCTGCCTGCTGGGAACGCGGTGCCCTTCCCCGGCCGGAATGGAGGAAGCCCCCGTCTCCACCAGCTCAGTGCCCTGCATGAGAGGCCTGCGGGTGAAGCTGGAGGTGTGGGGAGGGACACGGCTACTGAGACAAGGCAGGAAGCAGGACAAGGAACAGAAGACAAGGTAGGACAGACGGATCCAGGCCGAGAAAGCAGCTGACGGGGGCAGGGGAGGTCAGAAAGGGCGCCGGGCTCCAGGCAGGGGCCACGGAGGAGCAGGGCAGCGCCTGTGCCCGGCATGGGGAACACAGGCTGGGGCACAGGTGCGGGGGTGCTGGCCGGCAGCCCTGCTCTGCAGACCGGGAGACCCGGGGAGGGGGGCACCGGGGCAGCCCTGTACCAGCCCCAGACACAGAACCACCACACCACACACGCTGTCCGGCCCATGCATCTCCTACCTGGAGGCCCCGTAGGTTTGAGTTTGCGAGCTTTCAAGTGTTTTCACACACACACAAAGGGAAAAGAACGGAAATTTTAAAAGAACGGGATAAGAAAAAGAAAATGAACCAAATGGTCAAGGAAAGTGGGGGAAACAACAGAACAAAGAAAATTAGCACAAGGGTCCACCCTGCTGAGGCCCGAGGGCTGGAACGCAGTGCTGGGAAAGCAAGAGCCTCCGGCACTCCCAGGAAGGTGTGTGCCTGGGGGTGGAATATTCCAGAAAGTTCCCAGGGGGAATGGTGGAGTCACATGCCCTGGCCTGGTGACGCGTCTCTGTAGGGGAGAGGCAGTGGCAGGAGGGGACAGTCCCACCCTGCCTGGCCGTCGCTAACCTGGGGTCCTCAAGGGGTGGCTGCCCAGCCTAGAGCCCTACCCCAGCTGGCCATCAGCCCACCCTCTGGTGAGGGCCCTGGGGAGGAACCTCTAGAGCAGGCAAGGGGCCTGCCTCCCCTCAGGCTGGGGAGCCCCAGGGCTCAGCTTACCCCCCCAGGCGAGGGCAGGCCAGCAGGATGGGGTATATCCCATGGGTCCCAGGTCATTTCACCTCAGACCTTGTTCTCCGCCAGAGCCTGGCACAGATACATCCTGGGGGGGTCACGCTCTCACTCTGGGCTGCCACCCGCCCTTGAGAAAAGGTGGAAAGCTGCATGCTGGCGACCCCGGGGCCTCGGGTGCCACTGGCTCTGCCTCCACCAACGGCTCCCAGTGAGGGCTTCCCGGCCCTCCACTCCCACCAGAGGGCACTTGCCAGTGGTCTGCGTGCTCTGTTCTGTGGGGCGGGGGGGGTCGGGGGGTGACGGGGTCGTCCCTGCTGCCCTGGGCAGGGCCCTCTTGGCCCTGGAGCCTCGATGGGGCCCTTCCTCAACACAGCAACCCTGGTCCTCGTTGACGGGCAGAGGGTCAAAGTTACCCTTCCACTTCCCAGGCTCTGGGGCCGGCCCTGCCGGGGCTCGGTGCCAGGCTGCGGACCCCAAGAAGCTCTCGGGAGGGCCGGTCTCCACAACGCCCACAACACAGTGCGACCGACAGCAAGGAAGCTAAGGAAAGGGGTGGATGGAGGTGAGAACGACGAGCTACAAAACAAAGAACAAAATTAATGCTGCGAAATAAATCACACACAGAACTCCTTGAAAAGTACACACATTGTTTAAAAAAAAAAAAAGAAAAATCAATGAAAATCATGAACAACCAAAAGATGGGGTTTCAGAACAAACAAAATGAACCCTAGGCGAAGCAGTGCATGGGGTGGCGGCGGCGGCGGGTACCTGTACATGGGCACAGTCACCGTGCGCTCGTAATACTGCCACGTGGAGTGGAGGTCCGTGCGGGACAGGTTGGTGGCGTAGAACCTCCAGGCCGACTGCAGAGGAAAGGGGTGAGGGTCAGACACCTCCCTGGGTGCCCAGCCCCTGCCAGCCTCAGGGGACGCTCTGTACGGCGCACACGCCTGCGCGGAGCCTTCCGGGACCCGCTTCACCTGCCGCTGGCGGCCACTCCTGCGCTCCCAGCCCACAGGTGGACCTCACGCTGGGTGTACACATGGGTGACCCCAGAAGCCCGGGCCAGGGGCAGAGCAGGGACACGTGCCTCAATCCTCTCACCTTGCTCCTCCCCCGACACCTCGCTCCTCCCGGGAGCCACGACCTGGGCGCTCAGTGAGGGAGAGGGGCCTGAGTGCAGCCCTGGCTGGGCCCCAGGGTGTCCTCATCTGGCCAGAGCTTCCGCTCCCGCCGGTTTTCAGTTCTCATCGTGGTGAAACACACAGAGATGCGCCATTTCAAAGTCTGCGACTCGGGGCAACAGGTGCGCTTACACGGCCGCCGCCCAACCACCGTCACAGCTGGTCCCGGGGAGTCCCACGCCCGCCGGCCCGGGGCGTCCACCTGCGTCCGCCCTCTGCTCCCGATGTCCCCTCAGCACGACCACACCACACCCGGCCTTTGGTGACCAGCTTTTATCACGACGTTGGCAAGGCCCGTCCGTTCTTTCCAGGTTCGAATAACGACCCCTCGTTCGCAAACGCTGCAACTGGTTCTTCCGCAGGAGGCGCGGGTTGTCCTACTGCAAGGAGCGCCGCGGCAAATGTCCTGGGGAAGATTTCGGTTGAACCCCAGTTTTCAGGTCTTTGGGATATGTATGTACATGGGGGCACTGCCGGGTCCTCAGGCAGTGCGGACCCCTGAGGACCCAGGTACCCCGGCTCCAGTTTCTCCACATCCACCTCTCCCCGGCTTTCCCACCTCAGCGCCGTGGGTGTGAGGACAGCTCTCGTGGGTTCTGGTTTGCGTTTCCCTGATGACGAATGATGGGGAGCATTTCTCACGTGCTTATTAGCCTTCCCTGTGTCTCCTCGGGAGAAATGTCTGCTCAAATTCATTTCCAAATTACTTTATTTGTCTTTTTGTTCCTGAGTTGTGGAAGTTCCTTATGTTCTAGATAGTAGACTCTTCTCCGAAATACACGCAAACATTTTCTCCTATTCTGTGGGTTAACTCTTCGTTTTCTTTATAGTGTCCCTTGAAGCACAAAACTTTTCAATTTTGATAAAATCCCATGTGTTTTTTTTTTCTCTTTTGCTTGTGCTTTAGGTATCCTAAGAAACCAAAGCCATGGAAATTCACTCCTGTTTTCTTCTAAGAACTTCATAGTTTTAGCTCTTATAATTTGGTTCTTGACCCATTTTCAGTTAATTCGGTATAAGAGTCAAACATTATTCTTTTAAAATTGGATGTTTGGTCGTCCCAACGTCATTTGTGGAAGAGACCGTTCTTTCCTGTTGGATGTTTACAATACCATCGTTTGAGACTTGTTTTGTGGCCCCAGATACGGTCGTCCTGGGGAATGTTCCCTGTGCTCCAGGCAGGAGCGCACTGGGCTGTCCCAGGGCATCTGCAGGTCCGGCCAGCTCCTGGGCCCAGGTCTTCTGTGTCCCAGGCTCTTCCATCCAGGATAAGCTGGGGCGTCCACGTCTCCAGCTCTTACCACACAAACGTCTATTTTGCTCTACAATTCTGTCCGTTTCTGCTGCATGTACTTGGGGTTCTGCGTTAGTGTGCACGTGATAGTCTCTGTTCCTTGTGGACTGATTTCTGTCAACGTGTCCCGACCTTCTTTGGCTCCTGTCACAGGATTGGACTCAGTGTACACCCTGGCCCTCTGGAGGTCAGGGTTCCCAGGGAATATCTCTCTCCTTTCTTGTATGTTCAGCCCGTCACTGTCCCCGGGCCTGGGGTAAGTCTCCAACAGACAGCATACAGCTGGGCAGATTTTAAACCTTTTCTGCCCACCACCCCCCACCGCTCTTCAACCGGGAGAGCTCAATCCATGTCCATGTAACGTGGTTACAGACGGGCCTCCTGCTGCATGAGCTTCTGGGCCCCCCACCCTGCCGTCCTTTGGGCTAGGCTGTTTTACATCATCTGGTGTTGTTTTTTTTTACATTTTTACATCATCTGGTGTTTTTTGTTTTTTGGTTTTTTTTACATTTTTACATCATCTGGTGTTTTACTTGGACTCCCTTCTCTTGCCCTCTCCTGAAGTTTTAATAAAAGCTATTTTCTGAATGGTCACCCTGTGGATGAGGCTGGTGTCTCATGCCCACAGTCGTCTAGTCTAAATGCAGGCCCGCTTTTCCGCAACAATGCACAAACCCTGCTCCCCAAGCCCCTGGCCACCCCCGCCCCGTGCTGTCACCGTTAGAGATCACATCTGATGCCCTGTGAGCCAGAATGCGGCTCTGTGACTGCTGTCTCACACATTCATCTTTTAAACCACGTAAAGAAACAGAAGATGAGTTCTACGTCAAACGTATGCCACTACTCCTTTGAAATTTGTCCACTGGTGACCTACCGATGTCCATGTGTCCAGGGGCCATTCCAGCCCTGAGACAATGTCCAGGTGAAGTCCTGAGCTGACCTTTCCGGGGGCCATCAGAGCCCAAAGCAAACCACCACACTTCCAGAACGAGGCACCCCTGCCCCTCCCCGACGCCAGCAGCCATACCAGGAACGTCCTGGGGCCAGGGGCAGGGGTGCTAGACAAGGGCGTTTAGAGCACATGCTCCCAGCAGCCGCCTTCAGGCACACTGCCCTGGCTGACGTAAGGGTCTAATCCAGTTCCTGAGAACTGAGAGGTAAGATACCCCCAGGGCAGTCCCCATCTTTAAAAAGGAAAGACCCGGGAGGGCAAGGCCACGTCCACCGGCTCCCCGGCTTTGGAGAGGGACCCCTTGGGCAACCTGCTGCTTGGGGGTCCCACTCAGGAAGCATGGCTGGACCCAAGGGGATCTGAGCCCCCAGGAGTGGGAAAGGCAGCACGACTCGCCGAGCGGGGTCTCCGTGCAGCGTGGACGAGCCAGCACACCTGCCCCCCAGAGGCCCGCGGCCCACGCAAGACAACAGCCACCGCCCATGTTGTCACGACTACAGGACTGCGGTGTCTGCGCTGGTCCCCAACACGTGGCCCTGACTTCCACGCTCGGTGTGCTCCTGCAAAGGGCTGCGGCCTGTCCGTGCGGGGGAGGCCGGGGGCGCGGGGACTCACCTGGATCAGGCCCGCTGCAGGGTTCCGCCTCTTCTCAAAGTGCTTCTGCCGATGTTGCTCTTGAACTTTCAGAGCAAAGCCAGACCCCAGAATGCCCTGTGAACCCTCAGTGTCAGACCATGTGGCTGGGGCCGAAGCACCCACTCCCGCCCCAGCCCATACACGCTGGGGGCGCGCACAGTCTCGGCCCCACCACCACCTCCATCCCTAACCACCTGGGGACCAAGCTGGGGGAGAACACTCGAATTTAGGGTCAAGGAAACCTCTGGCTTGCATGTGCATGACGATGTGCCCCTGGAACCCACCTGGGCCCAGAGATCGTCCTCCTTCCTGACGGTGGGCCCTGACGGGAGAGCAGGCCCAGGCTCCTGGGGGAGAGCAGGGTCCCCCGCCAGCTGCCCTCTGTCCTGCCCAGCCATGGCTGACGGTTAACAGAGCCCTCGTCCCCTCTGTGAGGTTGCCTAGAGACTTGACAAGGGATCTGTGCACCGCAAAGCACTGCTCTTGGTCACAGGGGCCTACTGGCCAGTCCTGTAAGGCTGAGAGGCCACAGAGTGACAGAGGCCACAGCTCGAGGACAGAGCGCTCCCACCAGCCCCCGGCCAGGGCAGCCCTGAAAGGGCGAAGGGCACCTCTTTGCACCAGACCTGCCGCCTTGAGCTCCCGCAGTGCTGGGGACCTTGCTGGGAGCTGTGCCCCGTCCCATGGACCCCAAGTGGACAGGAGCCTGGGCCTGCACGTGGCCCCCACCAAAGGCAGGAAGGGGCAGCAGGACTTACCGCGGGAAGAGCGAAGAAGGAGACGCCAATGAGGGTGAAGGTCGCGGCCAGGAGCCTCCCGTTCCAGGTCTGGGGGTACTTGTCTCCATAACCAATGGTCGTCAGGGTGATCTGTGGAAAGGAAGGACAGTCAGTCGGCCAGGCCTGGCCGTGACCACTGTGGAGGCCATAATCCTGACCTGGACGCTCTTCCTAGCCCCCAGGAGTCTTACACAAAGGCCCGCCCTCAGGACACGCTGGACAGACACACAGGCCACCCCGCCCACATCAACCACACGAGACCCAGTGAGGCCGGGGCCCACACTGCCGCCCTTCATCCCTGCGATAGCCGCAAACTCTCCAGATCCCTCCTCTTTCTCCACATTCCAGGGTGGGCTGTGGGGTCCCCAGGAGCCTCTCTTCCCACTCCACACCTGTCAGAGCCGGAGGAGCCACCAAGCAAGGAGGCCGAGCGGCTTCCCACGGGGGTGGGGGGTGGCAGGTGGCAGCTCTGGGCTCATGGCAGGGGCGGCGGTCAGAAAGCCCAGGAAGAACCAGCAGCTGGACAGGGGTGGTGCCGAGCAGGAGCCCCGGGGGGCAGAGGACAGAGACAGGATGGGACCTTTGTGCAACGGGGCCTTTGGAAGGTGACTTAGAAGCAGAGGCCGGAAGTTTGGGAAGGGCCCCCCAGAGGTGTGGGGCACGTGAGCTGCCCCAGCAGGATGGGAGGCAGGACCGGCTCCCTGGTGTGCAGCGGGGAGGGCTATACCCACGCACAAGGCCCTCAGGCACACAGGAGGCCCGCTGCCCACAGGGTGAGATCCAGGTGGCCCCCACCAGTTCTGCTGATGGGGCATCCCTCAGCACCCACCAGCAGCCCCTGGGGCTGTCCCCCGGACTCCGGGGCACGGAGCCCACCTAAAGCCCACCGTGGAGTCTGGAAAACAGCACTGGATGAATCATGGTCCCCCGGGCAGGGACTTCTGGGCCTGCGTACATACAGTGAGAAGAGGGACATCATCCCCATTCAGGCCTGTGTAGAAAGTTCTGGAAAGTAGTGGACCGGTAGTGAGAAAGGGCAGCCAGGAGTGGGCAAGGGCCATAAGGGGACCCACTCCTCACCTTTAAAACCTCCCTGGTCAAAACTTCACTAAGTGCGGGATTACCAAGGTTTTCAGTATAAATATGCATATTTTAAAGACAAAAGGCACTTCAAACCACCATTTCCCCCCAAAATTCTACTGGGCAACCGCTGAGGTTGTGGAGAGGAGACACAAGGGCGGGAGCAGGACCCAGAGGATGGGGCTCGGGGCCAGGAGACAGGACGGGAGTCTGGGTGAGAGACCCCAGCAGAAAGGAGATGCCTCTGGACCCCAGCCACGGTGAGCCCCTCCTCCACTCCAGGGCAGGAGTGAGGGACAGACCAGCCCGTGGATGAGCCGGAGGGGGATGGCCGGCAGGGGATGGGCAGACAGGGGGACGGGCAAGCCGGGGGATAGACTGAAGGGGGACGGCCAGCAGGGGGACAGGCCAGCAGAGGGACAGACCAGAGGGGGCCAGGCCGGAGGGGCAGGGGCAGGCAGGGGGACAGGCTCCATGAAAAGGGCAATAGTACGGGTGAACCCAAGCGTTGCAGAAAGCCCTCCAGGGGACAGAAGACCTCAAAGACATCAAGATCCTCTCACAGAGACAAGAAATCTTATCCATAAAACAAAGTCGTTTTGAAAATGAAGTTCACAGGAAGCCGGCTGAGACGAACGGCAGGGCTCGTCTCCTAGGAGCCGGACAAACACACGAGGAGACTGAGAAGAACCAGACAGACACACCCCAAGGTCCTGAGGTCCGTGCAGGTAGCGTCGGCCCAGACAGGTGGGCAGGCCGGCTCGGGGTCCAGGTGATGAAAATGGGTGCGCAGGAGGACCCCCCGCCGCGGCCCATCGGAAGCACGCGGGAGACGGGCCCCAAAGTGCCCAGAGGGAGAGGCACCGCCCTCAGTGGCTCCCAGCAGCTGGGTGTGTGGCAGTGGGACACCCATAGACACGAGGTCTCAGAGCCACCGGCCTGCTCCTCCAGAGTGAGGGGAGACTCGAGGGGAGCGGCGGGGTGGGCTTGGGAGGCACGCAGGTGCGGGGACGCTAGCCAGGGACCCCCAGCCCTGCAGGCCTGAAGAGCAGAAGGAAGGTGGCTCTCAGATAGAGATAGGACCTCTCCCTAGAATGATGAGGACAGCTAAGGTCCTCCAAGTGGGTCACTAAGGTATGAAGCTTCCATCGGGCAAGAGCAGTGTAAGCATGTTACTTGGAATCTGGAGGTAAACCCCCGAGAAAGGCCGCAGGAGTTGCCGCCTCTGCCCCCGGGTCGGGAGGGCGGGCACACTCACCGCCGCACCTGCACGCTATCCGAGCGTCACGAGGGCACGTATGCAGACACGGCTTCGGTAAAACCCTTAAATAAGAGTTCCGGTTCTCAGAGATGGGAAGACGGGTCCAAGAATGGGGCCTGGGGGCAAGATGTGCTGCGTCACCAGCCACTGGCCCAGGGCCCGTGCTTCCCACATGGCTGGATCAGAGGACACAGACTCCAGGCCTCCCGGCGATCAATAAAAGAATTACAGATGAATTGCATTCTCACTTAAATGTGAGGAAAAGCTGCACATTCCTTCTCCCCATTAGATCTGAATTATCCGCTAGAGGCCACACAACCAGCATCTGTGGAAGGGGGTCTGGAGTCCTGGGAGACAGCGGACCCATGCGACCCTCCACGCGCCCCCAGGCCAAGCACTCCGCTCCCTCGGGAAGAGCCCCGCGAAGGAGGGGCCCTCCTGCGCCCTGCCAGGGACCTCTGTGGACATGGGCCGGGGTGAGGGCCAGGCCGAGTTCCATCCAGCTAATGGGGATGAAGCCCACAGGGCACGGCCTTATCCCCACAAGGCACAGACACGGGGCCGTCCCCACCCAGGGTGGCCCAGGAAGAAGCAGATGACAGGAGAGGACCCTCCAGGGATCTGGGAGTCGGGTGGCCGCGCCAAGGGCTCCGGACCTCCCCTGGATGGGGCAGCCTGGAAGGTGGAGCCCAGGAGAGCCACAGGCCCCAGTGTCCCCTTTTCAAAGTCTCCTGTCCCTACTGCCCCCTCCTCTCCTCCAGCTGAGAGTTCTCACACACCGAGGGCCGAGAAAACAGGAAGGTCAGTGACTGGCCAGAGCTGGGCACAGGCTCCCCGGCGGCCAGCACAGCGATGGAGGCGATGAACACCATGATGTCTTCGGGAGACGGCGGTGGCCTCCGTCCACCTGCACGCCAGCCACGCACACGCCCTGCCGCCCAGTCTGGGCACCCTTCTTTTGACTGGCCAGCAGGTGGCCCCAGAGGAGCACCTCCTGCCGAGAGTCCTCCTGTCTCCTGGAGTGGGGGCAGGGGGCGGGGGCACCTCCAGGGAAGGATGAGGAACCCAGCAGCCAGGACTCACCAGGCCCCACCACAGGGCATCAGCGTAAGTGTCAAAGTGATCGTTCTCCCCCTTCTCCGCCAAGTAAACCAGGAAGGAGGCCAGGATGAGGCACAGAAAACCGATGTACCAAGCCGTCACCAGCTCCTGGAAGAAGGGTCCACATCACGGCTGCCCAGCCCCAGCAGGCAGTGTCTGGCCTGGCCCAACCCTAGCAGCATTGAGGGTCCCCCACCCTGGGCAGGCATGCTATGGGCTCCGTGACCCACAGAGCCCCCAGCATTTGCTGGGCCGTGTGGCCCTGGCCCTGGGCACGGGGCTGGGGAGCAGGGCGTCCAGTTTCACAGTCCCAGGGCTGGGTGGTCCCTGGACCTGGGTGCCTCCCATGCACAGGCCAGCATGCCCCGTCCCCCAGGCTTGGGGCACTCCCCCAGCAGTCTGAGGCATTCATTCAGGCTGCAGCCCTGGGATGACCACCCTGAGCATGGAGGAGGCTCCTGGACCAGCCGGGGGGTCCTCAGCACCTCAGCATGTCCAGGGACCGACCCCGGCCCTGGCCTGCCCACCAACCCCCCAGCTCCGGGCTCAGACAGGAAGGGCTGCCGGGCTCCTCCTGGGGGGTGGGGCTGCAGGCTCCTGACACAGCCACGTTGACCCCCTGCCTCCGGGGTCCCGTGCCTGGGTAGTACCGGCCCCATGCCCCCCCCACACAGCGCGCCACGGACCAGCCGCCCCGGACAGAACCTCCCGGGACAGCACAACCCATGGGAAGATGCCCGGGAAGGGGATGGGATGGGTCCTGTGTGCTGGGACCCCAGGGCCTCTGCAGCAGGGTGTGGGGGCGTGGCTCACCTTGCTGTGGGCGTAGACCACGGAGCCCAGCAGCTTCCAGGTGCCGCCACGCCGGTCCATGCGGATCATGCGCAGGATCTGCAGGAAGCGCAGGCTGCGGAGCGCCGACGTGGCGAACACGTTGCCCTGGGACCCAGCGGCCAGCACAGCGATGGAGGCGATGAGCACCATGATGTCTGCGGGAGACGGCGGGGCTCGAGGCAGGGCTGGCCCCCTGCACCGCCAGTTCCGGCAGCAGGCGAGGGGGCCCCCAGGATGATGGACAGATGGACAGGAGCCACATGCAAAGGGCCAGGAAGGGGGCCGCATGACGGTCCACCCTGCCTGGCCCTGCCCTGGGCAGCAGCTGTCCCCACGGCTCTGCCTTCCTCCTGCCTCTCCACCGCGTTCGCCATGGCGCGGGCACCAAGAGGCAGGTGGGAGCCACTCCTGGAAGCGGCCAGTCAGCAGTCTCGGCCTGCCTCGGGGCCAGCACACACCCCCGTCTGTCTTGGGGCTGGCAGCCCACCTGCACCCCGCCGGTCTCACCTATCACACAGAAGGGCTTCCGGGCGAACTTGAGCCGCCCCCTCCAGCCGCGGTACCGGCAGCAGCAGCCCGCCGCCCAGATCCGCACAAAGTACTCCACACCGAAAACCACGATGGTCACGATTTCCTGCAGGAGAGGCCAGGCTGAGCCACGCCCAGGCCGGGGTCAGGGCTGGGACCGAGCCGGCCGGTGTTAGTGTGGGAAGCTCCCGTCCAGTGTGAGTCGGTGTTAGTGGGGGTGACGGGGGGGAGCAGGGAAAGCAAAGCTGAGGAAGGGTCCCAGGTAACTGCAAGGGGGCGTGGCCTCCCTGAGGCCGGTGGCCCCCAGGCCAGAGCCAAGGGTGGGTGGGGGAGGGCAGGCTCCTCTGAGGTTCACTCTGGACCTTGATCAGCCTCCTTCCATCACCAGCAGCAACAAAGACATTACACTACGGTTGCCATGGTGCCCGCCCCTGCCTGTCAGGGGCTGTCAGCTCCTCAGCCCCCAGTGCCCCCGCCCTGCGCCCCCATCGTGGGGAACTCCCCACCATCCCGGGAAGGGGGCACCTGGGCCCTCAGGCTCTAGCGAGCACGTGGGAACGGGGTGGGGTGGGCTGTCAGAGGCCGTGGGGACACAGGGAGGGGCAGCAGGGTGGACCGTCTGTTAGGGGAGAAGCAGGTGGGGGCACTATGACCCCGGGGGCGGTGGGCACTGCAAGGTCGCTCACTAATGCAGAGGGGAGGCTGGACGGGCCTACGTCCACCAGGCTGGAGACCAGAGATCAGGGAACATTGCGGGGGGGGGGGGGCTCTGGGAAGGGGCCAGGCTCATACAGAGCAGGTCTGGAGGGATCAGAGACAAGGGGCTGGGGGACAGAGCGCCGACCACCCCTCCGCAGCTGGACGTCCCGCCAAAGGCTCACCAAGATGTAGAGTGCTCCCTCCGAGCTCTTCTCGTACTCCTTGATGGTGGAGAAGACCGACAGCACGAGGCAGGAGAAGACCAGCAGGAACCTGGGGCCGAGGCAAGGGCGGTCAGCGGTGGCACAGACAGGGCACGGGGGTCAGAGCCCCGCACCCACGCCTGCAACGCCCCCCAGGGACTGCGTACCACCACGCCTGCCACACTCCCGCGTCAACAGCCCTGGGCTGTGGGAAGGTCCCCAGAATGCTGAGAGGGACACTGGCTGCCCCGTGGACGTCCCTCAGTCAGTCTGGGTCCCCTGCCTTGCATATGCTTGTCCCTTTCTAGGCTCACAAACAGAACACGCCCGTCTTCCAGTTAGCACGGTCCTTCATGAACACCCGCTCAGGGCCTTGGCCGCCAGATCTGGGTCCTGGCTGTGCATGGCAGGGGCAGAGAGGACCCGCAGTTCCCAGTAAGTGGTGCCGGGAGACACCGTGCGGCTAACGCAGAGGCCAAGGCCCCGTCCAACACAGCAGCCAGGGTGTCCAGCTGAAGGGGACAGTGTGAGCCTGGGGTCTGAGGGAGCAGAGTGCCTGAGGCCAGGGGCCGGGGCACAAAGCACATGGTGTGGGGAGCCAGACAGGGGTCCACACACCACGCCCCTCCCGGGTGTCATCGCCACCCTGGACGCCCCAGGAATCAAGACCACCAGGCTCCCAGGTGGCAGGAGGAGGGCCCTACGCAGTCCGACCTGAGCCCAGCCGCTTGGACGCTAACCCAGCCCGCCCCCGCTGGGTCCGCCCGTGTCCTGCTGGCGCACTAACTGGGCTGCCCCAGCAGCTCTGAGCCTCAGCCCTGTCCTGGGGCACCTTGGGCAGCCCTGCCTCATGCACCCCAAAGACCCTCCCTGGGAGTGTGGCTGGGGAGGGGCTCCCGGCGCACGCCCCGCAGATAGAGAAGGCAAGGCCAGCGCCCGCCAGCCAGATAAGACACAAGCGAATAAACAGTCACATTTCAAAACCACAATTAATTTCCTTTCATTAGACAATTTATTCAATTAACTGGGCCCTGGAGAAAACGTCCAGATAGCTCATGTGCTGTAGGTATGTATTTGTAACCCTCTGCCTGCTGGTGTCTTCTCCCAAGTCAGTCAGTGGGGGGGGTCGCAACCGTGCAGGGAGGACCTGCCCGGGACAGGGGACGTGGAGGTTGCCAGGTTCTGGGTCAGGACCCTGGAGGCCTGGTTGATGGCAGGGGCTGAACATATCACCCACGGCAGGAAGGGCACCCAACTCGGTTTGGCTCGGTGCAGAGGTGCAGGGAGCCCAGGGAGATATGCAATCTGGCAGGCCTCCCTGAGGAGGTGTCCACAAAGGTGAAGAGGAATGGGCGGGGCCAAGAGGGGAGAAGGGAAGAGCACGTGGGGTGGCCCAGAGATGGAGAAGACGGCGGGTTCTGGGACCCAGCAGAGGGCACGTCTGACCAGATGGGAAAATGGGGCAGGGGGAGCCTGACGCCACCATCACCCATGTGTGAGCGGGCGGCCTCTACGCACAGACCCACGCTGTTAGAAAACGTTCCCCTGAAGTGAAGGAGAGAAAGCCCCGGTCCCAAGGCGACCAGGGCTTGTGCGCCCAGCTTCCTGTGGGCAGCTCTGACTGGCACCCTGGAACGTTCCAGAACGGCCTGGCCATGTTCCGTGGACAGGCCGCCTTCCCAGCAGGCCGTGATGGGGAGCTGCAGAGTCACCCTCAGGGAAGCGTGGACTCTGGGAAGGTCCCTCTCAGCCAGGGGAGCGGAGCCAACTCTGAGCAGCGGCTGCCCTGCACCGGAGGTTCTAGAACGGACGGCCCCCGCAGGCACCGGGGTGCGCGCTTGGGAAGAGGTGGGCCCGGCCCACCCGTGAGGGGGCTGGGGGAGGCAGGCAGTGCGTAAGGCCGCAGCAAGGACAAGCAGAGCCCCAGGGAGAGCGACCACCCGCTGGCCGAGCCACCTCTCCAGGCCAAGGACGGGGTCCCCCGTTCCAGAGAGGAGGCCTCCAACGGCGATCACCTCCCCCACCCCCAATGCACGTAAGCTGAACAACAGAGGATACATTTATTTCCAGGCACCTTCCTGTCTGCAGGCGCCTTGGGGACCAGGGACCCCGCCAGCCCCCTGCCGTCGTCCACACTCGCACCCACCCTTGCATGGGGGAACTGAGCTCAGGAAGCTGCTCGAGGACCCGAGCACAGTGTCCTTGGCGATGCAGACACCTGAGTGGGTCCAGCCCTGGGATCCTGGGGGAGGGGCTAGCGTGGACACAGGTGCCATCCTCCTGCAGGGCAGGTGGGGTCCCCTCGCAGACCTGGGCAGATCTGGAGCTGCCGGCCGACGCTCAGGGATCTGAAGGGGGCCTGTTCTTGCCTTCCCTCCCATGGCCTTTCCCTCAGTCTCTTCTCCTGATGGCTGTGGCAAGAAGGGACCCTTCTGCCCACTCCCGGTCCTCGAGAGACATGTGGGGAAAGGAGCCCAGGGACCACCACCAGCACCCCCGTGGGTCCCTTCAGAGCACACCGTGTGCTCAGAGTGCCCGCTCCTCCAGGCCCCGGAGGACCCACACGGCTCATGAGGAGAAGTTCAGACAGACATCTTTGCTCTGCCGGCCCAGGATGGCTGGTCCGCTTCCTCCTGGTGAGGACGGGGTACAGCTCTGCGGCCCCGCGGCTGGAGCCCCTCCCGTAGGCGCTCTGTGCAGCCCTTCTCAGCCCTCCAGCCTGGGAACTGTCCAGGCTGCCGCGGAAGACAGGAGGGAGGCGGGAGGCATCCCCGGTGCCAGGACCCGGTGGTTCTCCTCCTGCAGCCACAGCCTGAGATCGCGTCTCATGGTGAAATCCCCCGGTTGCCAAGGAGACAAGTATCTCAAGCAGCCGGTCTCCAGCCCCAGACTGGGGGGGAGGGGGCAGGATGGGAGGCACGGGGGTGGGGAGGGGGGGTGAGAAGGACCTCAGACAGAGCTCACCCCAACATGAGGAAAGGGGCCACCCGGAGAAGCAGCAGCTGGGGACAACCCCTCGTCGTCTGCCACCTGGGGCCAGCCACCCCGCCCAGGCCCGCAGCGAGCGGGCGGTGCTCACCCTGCGGCAGGAGAGACCTCAGCCGGAGTCAGAAGGGACTTGAGCCACAGCCTGAGCGGGGAGCGGAGAGGCCGGCAGGGGCCTGACTGCTGGGATTCTGACATACGGGGCGCTGGTGCGGGGCGGGCCCAGAGCAGGCCGGTGCTGACAGAAGGGACGGGGACAGAAAGCGGTGGAGGGGCTCAGGTCCACCAACGAGCCCCCCGTGGTGGTCAGCCTGTAGCCACGCCTGCCGGTTGTGGGGGGCACCGGGCAGGCGTGCGCACGTATGAGCACCGGTAAGTTCTGCCTGCCCCCGCACGCGGGGGGGGGCAGCCCCCACCCCCAGGGAGACACTCCTCTGCTTCATCTCCCCCGCCCACACCTCACTCCATCTGATAGCACGGAATACATACTTTCTGGAAAAACAGGACAGAGCCCCTGCGACATCATTCCTGGGGTCAACAGGGAGGGGCCAGCGCAGAGGCCAGGCCCTCACTGGACGCCGTCGCTGCCCCCCAAGACTGAGGCAGGAGACCGCCGAGGCTTCCAGTCTGGTTTCCGTACGTAACGAAACAGACGTTGACGGTACCCGGCAAGGACGGGAGAAGGCTTGAGCGCAGCACCACCCCCCAGCCCTGGGTGGCTGCTCTCCGAAGGTGGGGAAGGGTCTCTGACGTCAAGCCTCCCCCCTCAGGCTAGCATGCACAGCGAGGCGACCATGTGCCGGCCACGACTGAAGGCAGGACGTGCTCTCGCCCATGTTACAGGCGTGAAAACGGAGGCTCTGGAGCCGCTCACGGTGGTCACTCAGGGCCTGAGGACCCTCTCCCCCTCGCCACGGTGCATCTGTGCCTCCCTGGGGGCTGGTGGCCCAGAAGCCCCGCAGGACCAGGCGGAGCGAGCATCAGCCCGCACAAGGCCACAGCGGGACCTCCTGTCCAGACTTGCCACCCGGCCCCCGGGAGACTCTTGCCCGCCTTGTCCATTAGGACCTAGAATCTAATTTCGCCCCTAATAAACTGCTCTGCCTCCCGGACCCACTGCCACTTCCAATCTCCAGGAGTGATGGAGAGCCCGGACTGCTGATGGCCGCTCCAGGCATGAACCAGACGTGAACAATCACTGGGATCCCGCTGGGGCTGGAGGGAGGAGAAGGCCACGGTCCCGAGACACTCTTCTGGAGCCAAGGCTCCCCCGTGGGTGCGGCCTCCCCCCAGAGCCCCCAGGCCAGTCAGTCCAGCCCCCGACCTGAGCCGAAGCCCATGGGGAGGTGACAGGTGAGCTCTCGGACGGTGCCTCGCACTCAACGAGTGATCGATACGAGGCCCGTGCCTGACGAGCCACAACCCAGAAAGCCCCAGCCCCATGGAAGGTCCAGCCTCTGGCTCGGCACTCGAGGCCCCGTGAGCAGCCTTGACCTGCCCCACCCCATTCCAGCCCCTCCCACGCCCGGCCCCCAGGGCCATCCCACAGCCAGGCCTGTAACACCAATGCCCCTTCCTCTCATAACACCCAGGGCAGGAAGGTCTCTCAGGAGACCCCCTGATGCCCCCCACTGGCCAGTGACCCCCCCCAGGATGGCCAGTCCCTACAAGGCCTTGGCCATGGACTCTCTCAGGACTGAGAGCTATGCTGGTCAGGATCCCTGCATCTCTCCCTAGCCATTCATCTATCAGAAGCCCCATGTTCACAGGGACACCCAACCCGCCACCGAGACCATAGGAAGTACGCCTCACCCTCCTGCAGATTTCTCAGCCTTCCCAAGCCAGCTTCCTGACCCCAGGGCCTTTGCATACACCGTTCTTATGGCCTGAATCTCTTTTCTGCTTGCACATCCATCATGGGGCCGCCTCCTCCTCATCCGTGGGTTTCTGACAGGCTGCCCAGCCCTGCTATGCTAGTACCCTCCAAGAGCACCTCCCCTGCTCAGCTCAGCTGGCCCCTGACTACACAGCCAGAACCCACACACGGGGGTGGGGCAGGCTTCCTGACCCATGATGGCCAACACA